AATTTAACATGCATGTTCATCGGGACTACACAAATGCTGTCAAGATAAAGTAAAATCAAAGTATAGTCTAAAAGATAAAGTAAAATCAAAGAAAAAAAAAAAAAGAGATTCAAAAAAGTAGAGTTCTCCAGTTGGCTCTGAAAACATTTTTAACATGTACGATTATTAAATTTACACAAAAGCTGGAAGTTTCAGAGCTCTAGCTAGTCTGGAAGATAGCGAAAACTGATAGCCAAAAAACAACTTGTAAAGTCAAACTAACGTTTCAAAAAAAATTAAAAGTTTATTATAAAGCACTATTTTAATTGAATAATATTTTATCATCCTTGTGCGGGTTTGACACCAACGCAACAAAAAGGAGGTTATTAGGGTGCCCACAACCTTTAGTAGAAGATTGAACAGCTTAAGCTGTTCAAATTATTTGAAAAGAGATGGCAATGAAATTTCCTTACCATCTTTTTTCAAATAGATTATGTATGATAAAACGCAATAAAGCATTATATCGGATAAACACTCCTTTAATCATGTAAATTATATCAGATAATTTAAATGACTTATAATTTTTTAAACACTGTTTTAATAGTCGATGTCCTTGATACCAATACCAAAAATATTGTGTTATATTGTGTCATATTACCATAACAAAATACTTGATTGAAAAGGCAAACTTAAAGAAATAAAACTGAAGAAAAAGCGCGCTCTAATAAACAGTGACTTTGTCAAGGTTTATACATGCGTGAATTACCCATAGCTTACCCCTCACCCGCCAAATTTTCATTATGGCAACTAACCTATTTCTGCTCAACAAAAAAAAGAAATCAAAAATTAATGATTATTTATCAGCCCCTATTAGCATTCATGTGGCAGGGAGCCCGTCTCTACACTACTGGTATACCCGCATGTTGACTATATTTGCCCATAATTATAATAGAACTACCCTATAAGATATACGTGAAAATCCTTTCCCGATGCCCCACAACAAACACTGCCCTCATACTATAGAGTATTACCTGAAATATTACCCAGAAGTGCCCTCAAAAAGGCAATGGATTTGAATAGGCTACCTATCTCAAAATTTATGATAAATCAACATGAAATGACTGTTTATTGAGAAAGTAAATAATATAGCTTACATTTTACTTACTTACAAAGCAAGATATAAAATTTCAAAGAAAAAATTTACTTTCGTTTGTAACACTAAATAACAATTTTTTTTTCAAATTACTTTTATGTAAGCTAATTAGCTACTTTTACACGAAAAAGTAATTTGTTGTTATGATGTGGTTTTATTTTACTTTGTAAAGTAAGTGTTATGTTTTTTAAATATTATATTTATGTAAGTTTACTTCATAAATAACTTTTTATACATAAAAAAAGTAAATTACATTTCGATGTAAATTTTTTACATAATTATAGCCAAAATTACTTTTCAAAGTAAATTACTTTACACGACTAAAAGTAAGTTACATTTACAAATAAAAATTAAAATGCAAATAACTTTTACTTGTAAAAGTAAATTACTTTTTTAAGTAACAGTTACTCATTTAAAAAACTTAACTTAAGTAATTAAGTTATACACGTATAATTTATGTAAAAAAACAAACAAACGAATTACTTTTAAATGTAAGTAAATTATATATTTTTATATGAGTTGTATATATTAATAAATTATATATTTTTATATGAGTTATATATATTAAAGAATAAATTAATTTACGCTTAAAAGTAGTTCATGTTTTTACATCAAAATAAGTAAAACTACCACCACTAATCAGAACATAGTCTACCCCGCTGATGTTTGCAACTCCAATGATATTGTCGAAGAGCTTTGCATTATCAACAACTCCGCTAAATTGCTGAAAAGACTCTACGCTAGATTTGATTGAGCCCAGTGTTTGCATGATTTGGCGGGATACTTGGATTTGACTTTGGGAATTTTCATATCACAGGCCCAAATTAGTTTAACTTTTGCATTTACATTATTCAGTGACCAGATTTGTTCAATATTGGAGGGAGCTTTCCGCAAATCTTCTGATACCACAACAAGAACTTGTTTCCAGTTTCTTTGCCAGTATTTTGAGTGAGGTTTATTATTGTAGCGGTGATTTGGACAAATTTTTATCAAATTATATAAAATGACGCACTATAAAGTCAAGATTTCTTTCGATTAAACATTCAAATTAATTTTTTTTTTTCCGCGGATAAAACTAAAAGGCTTCAAAATTTTCATTCCCGTGATGTGTAACGCTACCTTTCCATATAAGTGGCGTTATTGGGTTACCTAGGTTGGCATTTTAGTGATATGGAAGATTGAATTGGCAATGTTGTATCACTTGCTTTTGCTATCATTTCTTATCTCAACAAATTGACAAATTTATCATGAAAATTTCTCAGAAATTGAAAATGTAAAGAAAAAAAGCTCTTTTATAATTTCGTTTGCATTTGGTTTGGTTTAATTAGTAAGCAGCAATCAAACAAGATCCCATCATAGGAGTAACAAGGAGCACTAAACTAATTTCTTCTATAAAAACTGTAGCTGCATCTTCACTTTTAACTGCAACGGCTCCTTCAATAATCACTACAATTTACAACTTTGCAATTCGCTCGCCGAAAAGATCTTTAAACCGATACATCAATGCAGGTAAAGTTAAACACAGCAACTTATCCGAAAACCACGTTTGCTTCTAAAGATTGGCGTTTTAATCATGCATGGTTCAACGGAACAACATTGTTTCAGTAAATGCTTTTCATGTTACAGGTTTCCACATATAAATTGTATCAAATCAGATCGGTCTGAACCAGATACCACATTCACTGTTAAAGGGTATCACACTTAGAAATTAGGGCTTGGAAGGCTTAAAACTTTAAATGTCACCTGATGACAATGACAATTTGGAAGAAATAGGAGTAAAGTCACAATTAAGTTTTTATTTTTTTCTCGCAAAAAATGACGTTCCTTTTCTTAGAAAAAGTGGAACTGCAGTGCCTGGATTTTTAGATGTGCTTCAATAAGTGCCACTTATGATAGATGACCCAACAACATGCAACGAACCATGCAAATTCTTTCTGAAATTATTTTATAATACGTTCCAGAATGATTATAATCTGGAAAATAGTTATAATGCAATTCCAAAAAACATATTTATCTCTATCTTAATATAAAACTAAAGATTCAAAATTTTGACACGTCGGTACGCTTTTACTGTCATTGATTTTTATGTAGTTATTCCCACTTAAGCATTTTTTTATTTTTATGACTTTTATCAAAGCATATATATATATATATATATATATATATATATATATATATATATATATATATATATATATATATATATATATATATATATATATATATATATATATATATATATATATATATATATATATATATATAATATATATATATATATATATATATATATATATATATATATATATATATATATATATATATATATATATATATATATATATATATATATATATATATATATATATATATATATATATATATATTGCTGTAACCACAAATTGCATCTCGTTGTTTAATATGTAGTTTTATACAACGCATGTATTCAATATTTGTCAGCTAGCAGTTATCTAAATTCTTTTGGCGACCTACAATCGCATGTGTTCAATATTTGTCCGCAGTTATTTAAATTCTTTCAGCGGCTATAATCTCAGATACACTGCAATAAAAGTTATAAATTAAGAAATTAACACATAGGAATTGTTCAATAATGTTTGGAACAAACCTGTGAATGATTATCTGCAGCCAAAAAATAGGTGAGTTTGTAATTTTAATAGTGCTATCATTGAATATGATATCTTTGGATCAGGTTTAAACATTTCTCCCAAACTCCTGTTACTAAAAGCAAAGTCCTACACAATGAGCGGTCTAAAGCTCTGAAAATATATCAGCATTTGCTCAATAACTTCCGAACTCAAGAGACTCTTTCAATGTGACATAGCGTCAGCTGTGAAATTAATTGAACCATCATCTAAGAACTTTTTGGATAAAGAATTTTTATAACTTTTGGTAGACCCTCCTACCACTCCTCCTCGATTACCTACTCGATTACCTACCTCGATTACCTCCTACCACTCCTCCTCGAGTTATACTAAAGAGTAATAAGCTGCTAATAAAGTTTTTATGATCTAGAAACAGGACGTTCCAATAACCTATTCAAAGGTCATCAGCCAATGAGGCTATGCCAAGTGTCTAGTACATTATCTCCATATCACGCAATAAGAGTGTTTCCACTGCACGTTGTAAATCTTCTTTTAGCACACAAAAACATATATCAACAACAAACAGGTGTTTAATTTTGCATACAAGAAAAGTGGACCTTACCTTTATCTCATTTGAAAAGGATTTTGCCTCCATGATACAGTGCAGTGAAAGTTTACTGGTACGATTTTGGGAAAGTTTGCCTAAAAAAGAAGAAGAATATTTTGAAAATCATGACAATAATAATGATTTTTTTTCTCCTTGATTGACTAAATATTATGCTATTATGTATAATAATAGAATTATATAATAGAATTATATAATAATAATAAACTATAACATAATAGCATAATATAAATATTATGCTATTATGTTATAGTTTTTAAATTGATAATAAATTGATTTAAATTAATAGTTAATAATATAATAATTAATTAATTAATTTAAATTAATAATTAATTGATTGATTTTCTTTTATTTAAAAAATGCACGTTGTTTAAACTCTTATGCCGTTTTTTATATGAATTTTATAATAAAAAAACTTACAAACACATTTTTTAATATAAAAATACTTTGCTATACGTGTAAACCACCTTTATATTTTATTATTTATTTAGCAATTGTATAGCATATTAACCATTTCACATGTCTAAAACATTGATTTTAATTCAGCCTTTGAATGAATGCTTTATATATTTAAAAAAATGCACAGTTTAGAATTTTTAACTTATTTTAAATGGCAACAAAATTTAAATTGATGAAAAACTGCTAAAAAGTAGTAAAAACGGATAAAAAGTTTGTTATATAAAAAAAATATTTAACGGAACAGTTTTTCAAACAAAATTGTTAATTTTTTTTTTTATTGCCCTTGTTCAATGGTTTACTTGAGTTTGCAGTTTTTGCTTAAGTTTCAATAGACTTTCTAAAAATGTTGAACTGTTGTGAAGAACTTTATTATGCAAACTTTTATGCATCACTTTTGTTAGAAGCAGTTGCTACCGCTTTGCTAGTTTTTATTGGGGGAGGAACTTTTATAAGAGTTGACATTCCTTTATTAAATAATGGTAAAAATGATCATGTCGTTGAAACAGCTGCTGTATTTGGACTAACCTTAGCAGGTCTTTTATATTGTTTAAGAAATGTTTCAGGAGCTTATGTTAATCCAGCGGTGACTTGTGCGGCAATATTAACAAGAAAAACTTCCATACTACGTGGTTTTTTTTACGTTATATTCCAATGTGGTGGAGGTACTTATTCTTTATTTATGCCTGTAAATTTATTCGTTTTATTATTCAATATTATTGAAATAGCAGTAAATTTTTTAACAAAATTAATATTCATTAACAAACTTCAAATTTCACTTAAAAATCTTTGCAAAAATTATGACTGTGTAAAGTTTACAAACTCAAGTAACAGACTATGTAACAAACTATGTAAAGTTTGCAGACTAAGAGGGTTTGAATAAAATTTAAGTAGAAAGTTATACTTTAGTAAAAAAAAAAAAAAAAGTACAAAATTATAAATTCAGCAATAATAAAATTAAATAATACTAATATAAAATGGTAGATTAGAATATTGTTAAATAATATTTATTTAAATATATTTAAATCATATTATTTATATGTTTATATATAAATAATATATAGCATTTATACATTTATATTTGTAATATTACAAATAAGCTTAAAATAGAATTTATATAGAATTGTTAAAGAAAATCGATATTTTCAAAACACATTCTCCTTTAAAGTCTTTTCAAAACACATAGTTCTTCAAAGTCTTTAGACAAGTATTGAAAAATGTTTGCATAAAAAAAATATAAAAATACTCACAGCACTAAAGACTTCAAATTATTTCTTCTCAAATAATGCACATCAAAAACGTAGCTTAGTAAAGTATGAAGACTTTACTAAGCTACGTTTACAAAACGTACAAGTACAAAACTTGTCAAACCTAACAGTTGACGTCAATAAAACGATTCTTGCTAATTTTTGAAGTATTTTAATTATTGTAAAGTTGAGTAAAAATAAATTTGCATAAACGAAGACTAAAATAACACACATTTTTTAAACTATTATTTTAAGGAATATTGGGAGCTTTAATGCTACGCGAATTAATTCCACATTCGATAGAGAAAGACTTATCAAACACGATATTGTCGGACGGTATAACTTTAGGAAAAGGAATTGCGTTAGAAGCAATTTTTACATTTACATACTCTTGGATATACTTTTCTTCAAAAAGTTCTAATGTTTTTAAAGGATTTGGCGGGCCACTGGCTGTCGGTTTCTTTTATGGAGCTAGTCATATAGTCATCGTAAGTTTTGAATCGAAACAATTTATTTAAATTCTATTCATTTTTTCTTCAATTTTATAAATATGAGTTTTTTTATAAAAATGACAATTTTTGAATTTAAATTCTTGTTTAAGATTTATTGAATATTCTTTTTAGTAAAATTTATTAAAAATAAAATCTAAATAAAAAAAATAAAAAAAATCTCTTTTATAATGTTTTTCTCACTATCCTTTTCTACGTTTGTGTTGTTCCATACACTGCGTTTTTCTTTACGACTTTTTTAAATTCTCTTTAAAAGCACTTTTAGCTGAACTTTAATTTCAAAGACAGTTTAAATTGTTTATAAACCTTTTTTTTGTGTATCAAGATATTCTTTATGTAAAAATGTTTTAGATGCAGTATACAGGCTGTAGTTTAAATCCAGCAAGATCGTTTGGACCTGCAATACTTACAAATAAATTAGATCACCACTGGGTGTGTGGTTTTTATACATACTTTGTTATATATATATATATATATATATATATATATATATATTATATATATATATATATATATATATATATATATATATATATATATATATATATATATATATATATATATATATATAATCATACAACACTAAAATAAAATAATAATATTATGTTATTATCAACAATATTATAATAAATCAGTTTACAATAATTATACATTGTTTTAGCTTTTTTTAATTGTCTTTTATTTTGTTTTATTGTTTAATAATATAAAAGGTAAAAATATGCGTATTCCATTTATTATTAAGAGATTCGTTAGATTTTTTGTAATAAAAATTCTTGTTTTAGGTTTACTGGGCTGGCCCGGTCTTATCAGCATGCTTAGCTGGCTTAATGAACGATATCGTTTTCAAAAGTGCGAAACTTGTTGAATACCCCCGCCTACGATCTTGCAGTTTAATAATCTGTAAGGTAAGAGTCAAAACATTGTTGCAAACAAAATTTTTTGAAATACCTTTTTTAAAAGTGATATGCAAGTTTAAAAAAAAAACACTTTTATAAAAACATGCTTGTTGTATAAATTTTGTTAGTATTATTATGGAGTGACGCATGACCAAGTTAAGTATATATATTATTATTATTATGGAGTGACACTTAACCAAGTTAAGTATATATATCTTTTTGTATCCAAGTTCTGTGAAAAAGTAATGTTTGTTTGAAACATTACACATAAAAAAACAGCTGTAGCGCATTGGTTAGAGCATTTGCTTTAAATGCAAGAAATCCAAGGTTTGAAATGAGCACTCGGCGTATTTCGCGCTATTGGTAAGGAAGGAGGCGTAAACTTCCTAGTTATATGCTCTTTAGCGGTGCTCTGTGATAAGACCGTTGTATAATTTTGTTTTAGATGCCCTAATATATATATATATATATATATATATATATATATATATATATATATATATATATATATATATATATATATATATATATATATATATATATATATATATATATATATATATATATATATATATATATATATATATATATATATATATATATATATATATATATATATATATATATATATATATATAGGGATGTCTCTAGCCCAAATATCTTCTTTAAAAAATTTATTTGTGTTAATTTTAGAAAACTAAAAGTTTATTTTTTTGTATTTTTTTATTTTCTAAATGGCTTCTGTAGTATACATTAATCATATCTTTTTTACTGCTTCACCGTTATTCTTTGTCCTTGCAAAAAAACGTTGTCGTGCATATCTCCTTGAACCTCTAAAGTCTCATTCTGATAAATAATTATTATCGGGAGGGATATTTTAACATCATGCTTTCTTTAAATAATAATCAATTAGATCAGGCGTTGTTTGTCATTGTCTTTTGAAGGGTTACTATCAAACACCTGCTCTTATTGGGTTATACTACATATTTACACCTTAAGTTCCTGGTGTAACAGTGTCAGTTTCATTCATTGTTGCAGATTGATTAAATCCATCGTCTTTGTTACTTAACTTCAATTTTAAGAAACCTTCTACAAATCTCCTCAATTTCTTTAGATGTTCTTTTTTACTTATTTTTTCTCTTTTCACATGCTCTCGCTTTATAATGTTCGTTGTAGCCATCTACCATGTTGATTGCGAGAACACAATATTTCGTCAATTTAAAAAAATAAATTGCAATAAATTAACAAAAAGCATTAATTACTAAAAAAAAAATTAAAGTATAATGCTGAAAAATGCATGTAAATGATGCAAATTAAAGTATTTTTTATTTATTGATATTTGCATATTTTTAACAGGTATAAGCTAAGCTTCAATAAAAAAAACTGTAACTTACTACATTAGTAAATGATAATTTGTTATGCACAATGCTAACACTATTTAAACAACTAAAAGTATAAATTTTTCGAAGAGGTTTACGATTTGAATTTAGTTATTAATTCTTAAAAAAAAAGCAAAGCCTAGCTAGTTTAAATAAATTAAAATTGCTTTTTTTTCTCTTAAAAACAATGCTATTTATTGTCCAAAACTAACCAAAAAGAGGGGTAGTGTTTGACTACATTGTAGGAGTTAATTTAATTTGCCAATAAGATTGTTAAAAGACGCGCAATACACCCAAATGTGCCCCATGAAAGTTGTCCAATGCTGCCTCAATCCTGATTTTAGAATATATTGCAAAAAATTTTTGTGAAAACTTAATGTCTTGTAACTAAACTTTTTCTTTATATTGTAGAAACATCCCTTTCACTAAAATGTAAAAAAAATAAATGCCTTGCAAAAGAAATGTCCTCAGTAATATATATATATATATATATATATATATATATATATATATATATATATATATATATATATATATATATATATATATATATATATATATATATATATATATATATATATATATATATATATATATATGTATATATATATATATGTATATATATATATATATATATATATATATATATATATATATATATATATATATATATATGTATATATATATATATATATATATATATATATATATATATATATATATGATATATATATATATATATATATATATATATATATATATATATATATATATATATATATATATATATATATATATATATATATATAATTTTGCAACTGGGTTTCATCATATATACACCGGAAATATATGTGTTTTTATAATTTAAAAACATTGAGCCAGCACAATCAAATCAAATATTGCATTAAATTATTTAATTTACATCTTTTTAGACTAAAATACAACTTTAAGAATGAAAAACGCTTTATTTTTCAACCAATTATGTAATATCATGTTTACAATGTTTATTAATTTTTATAAAAGTAGTAGCCTCATTTATGTATTTAATCATCAATCATCATCCAGTGCTAGGAACTTTTACTTCTCTTGAGAATACAATGATAGTTTGTGCTGATCTAGAATTTTTTTTCGTGAACTTTCAATTACTTGGAGTATATCTTAAAAATTTTCTTTATCCTTTGTTACACCTAAGAGTTCATGACATAGCTTTACTCCTCGTTCAGCAGCTTCGTTGACTACTTGAAGACTTTGAACATTTGCCTTTATTTCGAGAAATTCATCCATTTTTATCCATTTAATGGCTGATGTTTGGAAAAACTTATAGGGAGCATTCACAAGATGGAAAAACTTCATTGATCCAGGGCCAATCAAATTACTCAGATTTGACTTTATCTCCTCTGAAGTTGGCTCAAGGTTAGGGTTTCTAAAAGATGCTCCAACACAATCCGTATGACTTCAAATCCTTTCAAGTTGGATAAGCCGCAGCCTCATATTCTCTTTGTCTTTGTCAGATACAATTTATGAGAAAAGATCCAATGAAACAAGCTCTTCAATCATATACCAGCTTTCTGCTAAGAGCTTTTATTCCCTTGTCAGCAATTATAGAATAATGGTAAGCAAACTGTTTCAGTTTCTTGACTAAAATCAAATCGTTGATTAAAAATCAACAACACTTGATTTTATGAATCCCAAAAGTTGCTAAGCAGGACCTCTCCTAGTTGCCTGTGGCATGCAAACCACAACAAAGGACGGTTTAGCTCTCTCTGCAGGCAGACATATGCTTCAGTATGCTGTCCTGTGATGTATAGAGAGAATGAATTAATTCTTTAACAAAACTATACCTAAAAGCTTTACAATTAGTTCATTAATTAAAACCTCCAAAGTATTTGTAACCCTAGAGTTTGGGCAAAAATGATTTGTTAATTTAAAATTTAATAAATTATTAAAATATCACAAAATTCAATTAATAATTGCTTTGTTAAAGCCTAACCTGTATTCGAGGATGTTATGTCAAAGACCATGCCTATGATATTTTTGTTGCATTTCCAACATACGAGTAGATTGTTTGTTGTAACAAAGACAATATTACCATGTTTCAGATTAGCTTTACTGGTTGAAATTGGAAGGGGTTACAAAAAGAAGTTTAGTTCTATTGACTTCGGATACTAATACAGGTATACGATCATCGGTGTCTTTGGAGCCCAGGGTAGCCATCAGTTTTCCGTCCAAATGTACCACCATTTTTGGAGATGAATTCCATTTGCTTTTTGTTTTTTTACTGATATGGGGCAATACTGATATTTGATATCAATGAGCTGAAATGAAACTTAGATTTATCTTTAAAAAATCTTCTCCGCAGACAGATATCATCAAATGTATGAATGAACACATCTTAGTATTACTAATACTATTACTCACACTCAATAATATTTTGATTCTTGAGAATAACATGCGAAATAAATACTCACTCACTTGACTTAATTTTTCTTTTATGCCGCCTTTTAATTTCAGAGTAGGCTAAGCTAAGCCCAGCAGATCCCCCAACCAATTTATCAAAAGAACTGCTGTTTAACTCAAACTCAACAGTTTTTTTGAACATTACCGAATGGTCTCTTTTGGGAAAAGCTTCATCATAGGTTCTTTTCTGCTTTTTCTCAACAATTTTAGCATAAACTTTGTCAATTCCTGAATAAGATGCTTTCCTGTCAGTTATCATGCTTTGCATAAAAGTAATGTCTGCATTGATGGATTTTTTTCATTTGATTTTTTACCTCGTTTTTGAGCTTCCATATCTCGGGGAACATTGTAAGAGATAATGCATCATTAAAAGTTAAATCCTTAAGGTTTGCAAAGAATTACTTGTTTCTTATTTGGTAATTTATGTCCTTTGATTTTCTTTGTCATTGATACCACAAGTAGTCCCTAATATCATTTGTAAATATCAATTAATATGTCTAGTTTCCATTTTGGTACATTTATATTATATTTTATTTAATAATATATAATATAAGTATTATATAATAATCAAAGTTAGTTAAATAACAATACTAAGCAAAAAAAAAATAAACATTCATAAGATTTTATCATGAAAAATGTCTATTTTTTACAGTATCGAATTTCACGTTGCTTGTGCCAACTCATACGTGATCAGATTGTAGAAAAAAATTAATAGCACTATGACACTAGGCTTATATAAAGGTACCTCAAGGATATAAGGGTACCTCAAGGTGCCTTATAACCCCTTATATGAGGTAGATATATAAGGGTACCTCAAGGAATTCAGTTATCGAATAGAGTATACATAAATTTAAAAAACTCCCTAACTTAGGACCTAAACAATAAAAGGGACTTAGGACCTAAAACTTAGGACCTAAAATTTCTATTGAATACTCCGTATACTTAAATTTCTTCGGCATTTTGAAAGAATTTGATGGATTTGTTCTTCAGAAATACCTTCCAGTCAGGTTTTTGTCAAACTTACAAGAAAAATGAGCTGGAGTTTGTATTAAAATATTTCAACATGTATTTACTACTATGGTTTTTTGTATGTCGTCATAATCTTTGGAATTTGATATAAGATAAATAAGCATTAGAATTTGATAACAAGATACTAGCCATTGATCTAAAATAATATGTTAACATATAATAATGCGGTAGTGGTGTAGTGGTAGAGCGCTCGCTTCATAAACGAGTGGTTCCGAGTTCGATCCCCACCGCTTCCCTGGTAGCACCGCGCTCAACTCGTTTCTCCGCGCAGCGGCCTTGTTCGTCAAGGTTCGTGTTTCAGAGTTATAGAGTTGAGAGAGGGTTATAGCCGCAAATAAGTAGCCTCCTCGTCTGTAGTGGCCTTCTCGGCCTTGAGGAGGTGAATTAAAATTAAAAAAAAAAAAAAAAAAAAACAATTTATAATACTAGTCAAAGGTTTTCTTTATAGTAGATTTGCTATATTTTGTTTTAGTTTAGGCGACGTATAGAGCTATGGAACGAAAATACCGCAATCTTCCCATACCTCAAACATTGAGATAGGGAAGCAAATAAAGCAAACGAGTTAAAAATTTTTTTTGACTTAAATATACTAAATTTAATTTTATTTATAGATTTAAAATTTCATCTTATAACCTTTTAACTTTTAATAGTTATGAGCTTGTAAATTTTACAGCCCCGTCCCTCGTTTTAAGAAAGGTGGAACTTCACATAATCATAACTTTTGAAAGTTAAAAGATTATTAGATGAACTTTAAAACCTGTTCATGAATTTAAATGTAATTAATTTAAAATAATACTTTAGTAACTCATCGTCTCCATATTAGGGTTAGGAGAGAGAACATTTTTCGTTCCTAGGCTCCAATTGCTACGATTTTTTTTTGAAAAATATTATCATTTAACATAAGCATAAACATACTTACATTTGGAGTTTTCATTTTATCTAAAAGTGTCATATTTATAACATTAAAAAATCCAGTCTACGCTACTGATATATTGTTCATTTTTATATATAGCCTAGCAGAGAAGAAGCCATGTTGGTTGAATACAGTCGCCACCATAATTTTGATCCTAGTACTACAAATTCAGAATACTGCGCCTAAAGATTTGCTTTGAAGACTTGAATTTTTTTTGTTTAACACTATGGATTACATTACAATAGATTTAAATTTAGTTTATAAAAAACTTTTCAGTAAATTAAAAAATTACTTTACATTATAGTATTTTTCTTTGTTGTTTTTATTTATTTTATAAATAAAAAAAAAGTGCTCTCTAATCTAAAAGTTATTTTTTAGTAGTTTGGTTATTCTTTTCACCCATTAGTACTAGCCTGTCAAGTATATAAACGCTAATTTTGCATAAAGTTGCTTACAATAAGATTGCCTCTTTAAAATATCCATCTTATAGATGTCTTATGTACAAAAAAAAAAGTCTAATCTAATGAAATGCGTTGATTTAAGCGATAAAAAATCCAAGTTCTAACTTAACTTCTAAACTTTTGTGTGCTCATACTTAATTATGTAATTTGACATAATTTAACATAATTTTGACATTTATTTGAAAAATGCACAGATTAGAGCTTGAGAGTAAAAATAATTTTTCAGGCACCAACATGAGAATCACTTGAACAATTTCTCTCACTCGGTGAGAGAAATTGGTTGTTTAAACTTTTTTTTAAATTTTTCAGGCACCCTATATTTAAAAATAAATAAGACAAGCTATACAACCAAAACAGTACTCAACCATAATAACAATAAAAAAAAAAAAAAAAAAAAAAAAAAAAAAAATAATTAAAAACAAATAATAACAAATAATAATAAAATATATATATATATATATATATATATATATATATATATATATATATATATATATATATATATATATATATATATATATATATATATATATAAAATTAAAAATAAAAAAAAAATTGTTTTATAATAACCAATATGAACTAAATGAGAATCACTTGAACAATTTCTCTCACCCGGTGAGAGAAATTGGTTGTTTAAACTTTAGATATACCTGGAAGTTACTTAAAGCAAATACAAAAAATCCTGGATCCGCTCCTAAAGATTTCGACTATACATTTAAAGAGTGTATAAATATGACTTTTAAATATATGTCTAAGGCGCCTAAGATAAAAATTTCAATATCGAAGTATATAAGAGATAAAATTTGTGAAAAACAAGAGATAATTTTGTAAAATTTAAAAGATAAAATTCTCTACTTAATAATGATCGACCAAAACAGGAAAAATGAAATAAACCGAAATTTCGGGTACACTAGATTAATACCAAAATCGACATTTCGGCAAACAATTCACCAAAACTAATACCAAAATTTCTGTTAAACAAAATTAATTTTATCTAAAAATGCAATTTTGCATTTGTTGTTTCTTTAGACGTATTAGAATTGGTTTAGATAATATTCAGATGAATAAAAATTGGTTTAGATAATATTTAGACGTATTCGAATTGGTTACACATTTTACTAAGTTGAGTTTAAATATATAAATTGATGGTTTAAATGAGAGAGAATGAATAGAGAAAGTTAACAGCTGCTAGATTATCTATGCAAGATTTTTTTGAAGTTATTTGTTAATAACTTCTGTTTCTTTCATTGCTTGAAATATGTCCAGTTGTTTAAAACAACCTTTCCACATCAGTTAATGTTGATGGAAGGGTGAAAAATCTCTAGACAAATTTATCAAGGGCCAGCTTGACTTTACTTTTTAAATTGTTTTTGTTATTCTTCCAGAAGCCTAGACAGTCATAGGATAATTGAGAATCCAGATGATCATATAGCAGTTCTTTAGTCAGTTTAAAATTTCATCTTTCGACTATTGTTGATTGAGATTAGGCAATTATATTTTTTATCAAGTTAGATATCCTCTTAACATTAAATTATTTGGAAACTTGTTTGAATTCATTGAAAGATAGCAACAAATCCAATTGTGCAAATGGCAACAAACCCAAATGTGTTAATTTTTTTATTTTTTTTATTTGCAGCATTACATGCATTAAAGGAACAGAAAAAAGTAATGGTTAATTGGGTTAAGTAAAGTTGCTATGGAATAGTGCTTAGTTTTTTCCATGCGCTGAGAATGACTTTCCGTTACTACTTCAATGCTCGCTTCATTCTTCATTCATTTACTTTCAGTTTCAGTTTCATAGTTGTCACAAAAGTTTTATAGTTGTCATCACAAGCACTGATGCAAAGAACCACTTTTTCAAAAATAAGGAAAATTTTTATCATTTTTTTACAAACAGTAAAAAAATGATAAAAATCCAGTCTTTCGTGAAAATTTAATGATGTGGCTGCAATCGCCACCACGAGGGAGTCAAGTTTCGCCTTGTTGCGATGTTGTTTTAAAACCCAATTCAATTTTTGTTTTCCATCTGGACTTCTTGCTGTTTGCAGAGTTACGTATGAAACCCGTTTGAGTGGAATGCATAAGTGCAAGGTTTTCGGCATTTAACAACCAGGGTTTTGACTGAACCCCTTGAAAAAAGTTTGTTTTTAATAACGAATGAAAGAGAATGGTTGAGACACCCAGCTGATTGATAGATACAACCTTCATTAAAGGTTGTTTTAAAAATAGCTAAATTGTTTCTTAAACAAATATCTATTTTTGAATTAATATCCTCGACTGCTTTTTGAATCTTTTGATAAATATTTGCCGATGTGTGGCGTTTGTCAAACTTGAAGCATCACAAGCAGAGTCTCATTTGTTTCCAGTCTTTTGAAGTGAAATTAATTTTTATCTATATATAACCATGATGTAAGTTCGACGAAGCATCAGAGCAAGTTGACAAACAAAGTTCTCCGCTAAACAATTTTTTAGAGCAGTATTTATCTTATCGTAGGGCAGGGTGGAATGAAATTAATATTTTTCAGAAATACAACTATTCTCTCTGATTTCTATATTAGTTATAAGAAAACTATAAAAATGAAACCAAGATAAGCAAAATTGGAAAAAATTTACCCCCTGCAGCAATTTTTGACAAATATTACTTAATATTCATAGCAATCGAAAAAATTGAATATTAAGTATATATTAAAAATCATGCTCTTCTCTGAGTTTTAATACAAACCATATTTCTAAATGTTAGTAATCGTATTTAGTTTGAAATAATTATATTATTTATAAATTAATAATATTTAATAATAATTGAACTATATTATTTTATCTATAAATATGGAACTTGTATAATACAGTTTGTAATAATATAAATTTATCGAGTTTGTGTTTAAATTACAATAGAGCATTATATGCGTAATATTTTATTTTTTCTGTTTGAAAGTTTTGTGATTTGTTTGGAGGTGTTACTTATTTTATCTTAAGTTATTTTATAGCTAGAATGAATTTGTAATATATAATATAACTAATAATATAATATATAAATTATAATTTAACTAATTTTGAAAAAAAGTTGTTTTTTAAAAATATTATTAGCATAAAATCATTTCACTATATTTTTTATATTTATTATATAAAAAAAATTGTTAAAACTATGTATATTTCTACGTGTCACTATTTACATCCTTGACAAAGAGAGTTGTCAACTTATTTGAGCAAAGCAACAAAAATCTAACTGCTGGCAGAGTAGTTAAATAATTTTTTTTTAACTCTATAAGGACAGACTAGCCAAACTAATTGATATATCTGCTTGCCAATGCAAAAATCTTAGATAGTGCTGCTATGCCAAAGACAATTTAATACTAATCATGGTGCACATTTTTCTGGAAGATACAAGGAGTGAATTTAAAATTAACTATTGGATCAATAGAAAAACAATAAAAAATTACAGAATATTTGAAGCAAACAGAGTTCAAACCTTAATGATGTAGTGCCACTAGGTTCTATTATTTCTGCTACACCTTTGATATCAGCTGTACTTGAGGATATTGGCATTATTTCACATGATGACAAAATACAAGTAACAAGATAAACTAGCAAGACAAAGCGTGAGCGTTTGAAAACCATGATTAACTTGAAATTTAGTGAAGTTTAAGTAAAGGCGTTGTACTTTAATAGTAAAAATAACCTGACTTTCAATAAAAAGAGAATCATAGTGATAGAAAAGCATATATCCTTGGTTCAGGAAACTTGACTAGGTTTTTTTAAACACTGCTCTTTTTTTAGCAAATCATCTGAAGCATAAAAATCTCAAATTCTATAGGATTCTAAAGAGCAAAATGTTATTTAGGATAATTTGCAAGTGCTAGGCTGTGATAGAACTAATGTAAACAATGGAAGGAAGGGTGGAATTACTAGATTTATTGAGTTAAAACTTCAACGGTGTCTACAATGTGTAATTTGTTTGCTTTATGCAAATGAGCTGGAAGCTTATTTACATGTAGCAAACAAATTAAATACGGCAATTCAAAATTTCTACTCTCAATCTTACGTCATAGATAAGTGCAACCTAATCTATGACGTAGATTAATTTACAGCGGGCAGACTCACCACTAACAAAACAGCTAACTGAAGAGTAGTTGGAAGAAGCAGAAGAAGATTACATGCAACTCAGTGATTTTTTGGAAAAATTACCGTACTCACGGAAACAATAGAACTTTGTGTAAAGATAGTAACAGCTGTTTCTGCTCGGTTTGTGGTGATATAAAAAGAGATGGTATAATACATGTCCGCCTGCAATGTAGAAAGAATATGCCAATATTTAACACCAAGGTACATTATAACATTATTTAGTATAGTTTTGGCTCTATGTTTGTTAAAATAATGTAGTAAATGCCACTGTTCAATTCTAATTCTTCTTTAAATAATATGTTAACTGACAAAAAAAAAAAAAGCATTCAAACGGAAAAATACTACAAATTATTACTTAAAATAAAAAACGTCAAATATGGCAAATTCTGAAAAAAAAACAAAAATAGTTCATTAACAACTAACCATGGTTGTTAAGGAGCAGATGGATACGCGCTATTTACTAATTAATAGGTTAAGTATTTTTTGAACACTAGGTTTAAAATTTCATTTAGAAATGGAAAAATATTTTGACAAAATTGAGTTTTCTGCTAAAAAAGCTTTGAATTATCTATGCCATAATACTTAATTTTTTCTAAGAGAATGCAATTGTCAAATGTGTCGAATGATTTAGATAAGTCTATAAATACTCCTAAAGTATATTTGCTTTTGTCAAAAC